ATACTAACCTCACTCTTGTGTAACAACTAAGGCAAAAAATGTAATTAATTCAGAAAATCTTTTCAGGACCCCACCTTGATGTTTCGGGACCCCACTTAGGATACTAACCTCACTCCTGTGTAACAACTAAGGCAAAAAATGTAATTAATTCAGAAAATCTTTTCAGGACCCCACCTTGATGTTTCGGGACCCCACTTAGGGTCCCAACCCCAACTTCGGGAAACATTGATCTACACAGTGCAAAACATAATTTATTGGACAAGGCCACAACCTTCAATTGATTTTTGGTCCATTCCTGATGTTCAAATGCTCTTGTTTTAAATCCTTTCAGTGGTACAGCTATATAGTTTACAGCTATGCCATCTTCAAGGCAACAAATTGCAGCACTTTGTGTTTTAACTTTTATAAGGGAGCCAGCATGACCATCCCATAAAAACTGAGTTGCAGTTGCCCAACAATCTGGGCATAACAGTTTAGTTCCTGTCAAAGTCACTTACATTTGTATGCTTTCCACCTCACTTTGCTTCCAACAAATCAACTTTAAAAACTCAACATCCACTTGGTGTTGAATTTACTTCATCTACTATTAAGTAACAATATTTTTCAGTTCCTGTAGTGGTTCGTATCACTTGCTGTGAGTTAATTTGGCTTCAGATCTGCTGTTCAAAAGAATCAAACAGACTGGGTCATTAAATAAAAAACAGGACTATCCAAATCTCCCTTCCTCCCTGGTTTTACTTCAGCTGGAGCTCCAAGCAGTTTTTCATCATTTGATCCAAAAGACTTACAGAAAACTTTGGTTGAAAAAAAAAGCAGAACTTTGCAACTTCAGAGTGTAAGAGATTTCCAGCTAATTCCAACTCCTGCCAAATTTCTTTACACAAATACTGAGCGTGTCATATAAATGACATAAGGACATGGTATTATGTTGTGGGATAAATTATTTTAATGACTTGCACATTATAACCCATCTGACTCGATTTACTGTCCAATTTTGCATGAACAGCAAAATGTACAAGACTCCATATTTCATAAGTACGTCTGACTGAAGTTTAAGACTATTAGTAAAAAAAAACCTCCCCAAGAAAATGGTGTCACTCCAAAAGTTTAAGTCTAATTATTTTACATATTTTATGTTTGAAAAGTACTCATGCCAATATTTAAAATCAATATTATTAACCAAAAATAAATAAATAAAAATGAGAAAATTTAATCCAAGGACATAGTTGTTGGCGTCCAATGAAAGCACTCATTCACATTTTTTTTATTCCCACAGGTTGAATTGTGCATATACTGACACACTGTGAGAAAAAGAGCAGGCGAGCGAGGCTTGCAGTAGCACAAAGCCGCCTTCCTTAACGAGTGTGTTTCTTCATGTGCCAGTCCTCAGGGATTGGCTTCCATTTTCATGTGGGCGAGCAGGTGTGAATACATTCTGGCAGTCGGGGAATAGAAACCAAAAAAAAAAGGAGGGATGTGAATGTGCCGGATTTCCCACCAATTAGGACTGAACGGGGGTCACTCTGCCTCTAATCTATAATTGAATGCATGACTGTTCATGTCTGGGACTGACTCTGTGGATTTGGACACATGTGCACACACGCACCGGCAGTGTTTGCTCAGAGAATATAATGTTCTTGATTGATGGACGGAGAGTGCAAGTGAAAGAGAATACCAGAGAAAACAAGATGTGTGGGTGTTTATAAGCAAAGCTGACATCAGGACCCCAATTAGAGACCGGCGTGCTTTGCTGCTGCTGGTGGTGGAGGAGCGGACCAGACTGAGACTGAGGCTGAGAGTATGAGCAGGAGAGTAATTAAAGGCCCCGTGACAAAAGCCCCAGCTAATGTTCTCATGAGTCGCTGCATGTGTGCTCCTGTAACTAACACGGTATCATCTGAATAACGTGTGTTGTAGAGAAATATGACCTGAAAATCAATTAGAATTTCACATGAAGACTCTCAGGAAGTGTGAGAACTCAGTGAAAAGAAAGAAATGTACACAGATGATGTATAATTAGTAATCATGGAGAGAGAGAGATAGCTGCACTTGTTTGTTTGTTTAAACAGAAWATGCTGCATTGCTGATTAAATTACTGCTCAAACAATCAATTAACTAATAGACTGAGAAATTACTCATGAAAAAATGATTAATTACACTGATAAGTTTAAGTCGTTAAAGCTCTTTAGGACACAAAGCCCTTTTAATTTGACAGTAGCTGAACTCATCAGGTTCTCGTCTGTAACTAATGAYTAACTGTCCTGGTCATAGTTAGAGATCACTTTTCTCTTGGCAAATGTCTGAAACACTGTCACAATGTCACAATGTAGAAAGGCCCAGCCTTTATTTGACATATAATCTGCTTATTCAGAGGAATATGACAGTTTGTATTATTAAAATGATAAAACAAGTCTATGTCCAATCCTTACAGTGCTTCTAACGTAATAAACATCAAACTTTGTCTTTTTCTTTCGCTACTACTTAGGATAAATAAACACGAAACGGAAATAAATGATTACTAACCGTTTTGAATTGAATTACAGTTGCAGCTTCTATTAATTTAGTTTAAAACAAAGTCAATTACGACGAGTTTCAAGATGTGCATGTGGTCCAAAAACCAATCAGCCTCCTGTTTCTGAGGCTACAGGTGGGTTTTAAGTGTGACAGACCACAGTCAATATTCACTGACTGCCTTATCAGTCAATCTGATTTGTTAAAGTTCACACGTATTAAAACATTTATCACTAAACAATTGCTGCTAAGTTTTATTTCCATCATATGCCACAGATCTACTGTGGGATGTATGATGAGCAGGTAGCGAAGACCAGTGATGTCCGTTGGATGTAAGAACTACATAATGCAAAGAATTTAATGAGTTGTTTCCAAACGATCTGAAAAAATATCTGTTATAAAATCCATTTTCGTGCTTCTGCAGCTGTCCTTCAAACAGCAGCACCAGCAGCTTCCTGCCATTACGCAACCACATCAGTGACTCCTGAATCTTCGCTGAATACAAACAAACCTTTAAAGAGCAGCCGCTGAAAGCTGTGATACAAAACATCCAACCTTTTCTGTTGGACACTGAAAACAACTCAATATTTTTGAGCTCCGAGAATTTATGTTTTTACTCAACTAAACCGGTTTTACTCTGATATGTTTTTCCAATCACTTTTGAAATGGATTTTACTTGATTCAACCCATCCATCCATCCATCCATCCATCCATCCATCCATCCATCCATCCATCCATCCATCCATCCATCCATCCATCCATCCATCCATCCATCCATCCATCCATCGTTGAGTCACATGGGCAGCAGCTTCACCAAAGAGGCTCAAACATCTCTTTACACAACTGCCTCTTCCAGTTCCTCTGGGAGAATTTCAAGACAAGCAAAAAAACTTTTGTTTATTACAGTATGTCGGCTTGAGCACGTTTCCTATTTCTCACTAATTTTAAATACATTTAAAGAATTGCACATTCATATAAAAAAAGCTTCTCAAAATACTCCTCCAGATTYATTAGGCCATTTGTTCTCCAACATYTTGACAYTTTTTCAGCTAAAACCTTATTTCCGTATGTATCCACAGATACAAATCAACAGAGGCAAAGCTAAACTGCCTGCTGTTTCACAGAAACAAAAACTTTTAAACTTGATGAGTCCATTTCACTTCMTACCTACTGTGCTTTATTAAAAATAAAGAAAGTCTAATGAAAGAGTGAGATGACACTGTTTGCACGCTGCTGTGAATGTGATGCAGGCTAACACGTAGGATCACATAACACAAGAGAAAAAACAAACAAACAAGGAAATAAGGCAAAAACATGTAAGACTCTGCTGCTTTTCATTTGACAAGTTCTTGACAGTTTTGAATACTTCAAAGGAACTACATGTGTGAAGACAAATGCACAAAGTTTTTGTTACTTTAATTAATAAGCCCCAAAACAAGAGTGGGACAGCCAGATGAAGAAAACAGCCTAATTAATGGTAAGAGGTCAGCAGGTCTAAGAGGGACTGGACTGAAAAATAGCGAAATTTCATCATTTCCCTTTTAATCTTGATTCATAGATGATCTGTTCCCACTCAGTGCCTTGGTGCAACAATAATTGTCAAWCAGAAGCTGGGACAAAAGCTATGCGGTGCTGCTTCACTGGAATCAATTACCAGCTGCCACTGGAYGTAGGCTAGCAGTTTTTATTAAATACAAAATGTTACAGACTTCATTTTAAAGCTAGGACAGGTRAGTGAATGAAAAGACTACGAGAACACATGGGTGCACCTTTAAARCCACCGTCTTTAACATGGGGGTAGTCTAAAAGCCCAAAGTAAAAAACACAGGTTGTCAACCAAGAAACTAAGACAGGAACGTAGTGTCAGGGCAGACATGAAGCTAGTGTGAGAAAGACTAAAAACTATTGAGTGAGTATTCAAACMCTTTGGTGTTTTAGGTCAATTTTATTCCATTTATCACTCTAAACTCCCATCTTTAGTTCTACCAGCTTTTTTTTCAAGACAGCTATGCTTTACTTGTCAGTGCAGTTTAATGTAAACGCCCAATATTCCTTTCTTCCTACTTCACTCCCAGCCGTGTCCTGAACAGGCATTTCTACTTCCTCTGACTCCTTATTTCCTTTCTTACCGTAATCATCATTCTATTTTGCCTCGTTTGCAATCCAATCTGTTTTTCTTCCACTTTCCATTTGCATGAATAAATAAATGTGCGCGTCAATAAAAGAGCTCTGTGAGCGAAACCAGCACGTAAGGTGGAAGCCTATTATTTTTTTATCAATGGAATCAATCAGACTCATGGTAAAGGTTTGTTTTGTTTAGCAGTGCTTCAACACATGGGAACATAAATCAAATACTGCCACGGGACTTGGATTCATCCCACCCTCACCCCCCAACCCCACCATCCCCATCCCCATCTGTGCTTATGAGTTACAAAACAAATGACAGATTTACTGACACAAAAGAAGTGTAGATTTCGGCTTTCGCTCACCTCTCTGCACCAGCATGGTGACCTCACTGCCTTTTGGACACTTGCTGAGCAGGTCCACCACCTGGTTGTGAGACATGCTCTGCACGTTTCTTTTGTTCACCTCGACGATGATGTCCCCCTCCCTGAGGCCGCGGCAGCGTGGGTAGTCCACAATCTGCTTCACTCTCTGCCCTCCGCCACCGGGACTGTCCGCAATGGTAAAGCCAAAGCCCTTGTCTCCTTTCTCCATGTGTACGGTAATGAGTTCAGGCTGTGTCGCAATGGCCGAAGCTAAGGTTACGACGTCACTGGAGTAGCCGAGCTGGGAGGAGGTGTCGGAGGCCGTCTCCACGGACGGGCTGAGAGGCTGCGGGAGGCCGTTGAGAGGTGGCCCTCCGCCGTTGGTTGGACCGTTGTTGGTGCTCTGACTGCCTTGGCTAGATGGCGAGTCATAGCTGTTAGAGACTTCCTGGCCATTGACGATGATGGGCTCTTTGTTGTCAAGAATAGCCACTGAGGTAACCAGGCTGGTGTTCGGGTCATCGGGGTCAAAAGGCAGTGGGTAGCCTCGGCACAGTTCCAAGTTGACCATGGAACCGATTGGGATTGACTGAAAGATCTTTACAACTTGGGCATGTGTGTAGCCTAGTACGCAGGTGTCATTGACACTCACAATCACGTCACCTTAAAGGCGGAGAAAAAGCAACAATTACTTTATTTTAGAAAAGTAAAACCCTCCCTTAAATTAAAAATAAAAGTTACTACAGTTATTTTACAAAACAGCCTTTGAACTGAACCAGAATTTCTTCCTCAAATGTGAAAAGAAATTCAGTTCCACAGACCTGTCTCCATTTTGCCATCAAGGGCAGCAGGTCCATCAAGAACTAAGCTCTTTATCTGCAGGAACTCATCTGGTTCATCCCCTCCAACAACTGTAAAACCAAACCCTCTACGGCTCTTCTTGAGTTTGGTATTAATGAAGGTCCCGTTYAGTTCTGATCGGTTCCTTGTGAAAAAAGGCTTCCCTCCTGAACACACAGACACAGAAATTTAAACTTCATGGGGATTTGTTACAAAAACACACTTTCTTAAGGGGAATGGGGTCAGTGTGGATGGGTACTTATTGAGCAGCTAGTCTCGAGACGTAAGTTGCTCTCAGATCAAACAGTTATGAGAACTCTCAGGGGATTATAAGGGCTGTTGGTCCCTCTTTGGAGGAGTTATAAGGGTCTATGTGATACACATCATTAAGAGAACCCTGTGATTGATTATCAACACGACCACTTCAATTACTAACATGGCATTCCTCGTCACTAACAAAAAAGGACCTTTTAGTTGGAGCTGTGAGTTGTGGATCTTTGCTTCAAATTTTAAAGCAGAGTTTGAAAGAGCATTCCAAAACATGCAAAGGGTTTACAGGAGCCAAGACTCCGATCAGTCTATTTAGTGATGCACATATTCAAAGAGAAGAAAAAAGGGCATGCCATGACAGACAACAATAAAAAGGTATGTAGATTCTATTTTAGCATTGTGAATCCAGCTTAATGAGTTTTTGTTTTGTTTTGCTTTTTTGYACGGCCAGTCAACACTTTTATGAACTGATTTTTATCTCTTACGTCACTCAAGARCCCCTGTTGAGCCAAGAAAATGTCCACTCTAAAGTAGGATCCAAAAAATAGAAGGATTGTGAACAGCTACAGAAGCTGCAAACAAACTAACTAAATAAATAAAAAGRCGAACTATGTTAAATGGTTATGACAAATAAGAGCTTGTTTCCTRGTCTGTCACACCTATATTCGGCATTTCAGCTTTCAGGAAAGGTTTTTGCTTTTTGATTCCAACTAGACATGAAAATGTAATTTTCATGAGTGAATGTGCATATTGACTGGAACACTACAACTAAACATGTGGCTTTATTAATATCGAATTGTCAATCAGTTGAGATGGAAATTCTCATGCTATCAGTCTACACTTCTTTTCAATGAAGCATCTCAGAGATGTGGATAACAGTGAGCCTCCTTATCATGTGTGTAAAATGAAATCAATCTAATCCACGGACTAAGCTGCAAGCTGCATCCATGAAGTGCCAATAATTGGCAACTACTTATTAAATATATAATTTTAAGGCAATAGGTAAAAACAGTATAAAATGATTATAAATCATGAAATATTGACTGCTCTAACAAAAGAAAATCTTGAGAAAGGAGTCCTGGCACACCAGAACCTCTTAAGCTGCTAAAACCACTTCAATCGCTTCGGATGTTATCATCCATTAAATGAACATTATTTGCCGTTATCAGTCCCATAGACTGGCTTCAGACTGTGCCGCCTATGGGTTCTCCATCCCATAGAATGGCTTCAGACTGTCATCTGGTTAGTATGAGGCATAAAACCACTAAGGTTTTTTATGCAATCTGGTTAATATGAGGCATAAAGTCACTAAGGTGAATTTTAGAGAAAATTATATGGGCTACAACGATAAAGTAGACCGGACTCCGGTGGTAGCAGATTGTTGCATTCCAACGTATATGGCACCACTAGGGGGCATTGTCTGGACAGTCTGAAGCCATTCTATGGGACTGATAACCACTAATAACGTCCATTTAATGGACTAATAACATCCAAACCAGCTGCTAAAACACAAAATTCGTGCTAATTAAAAGGCCACCGTTTTAGACAACCTACCATTTGCAATCTTATTTGAAGAAATTTATAAAAAAAATTGCAAGTGATTTATAAAACAGAATGCTTTAATCCTAACTCAGTTCCCTTTTTGTTCTTTTTGCTTTCTTACAAGTAATTAAACATGAAATGAGGAAATATTTGAGGTGGAAACTTAATTACTATTTTAAGTTGCAATTCAGCATCTACGCTGCAAAGAATTGAGAAATAAAGTGCAAAATGTGAATAAAGATGCATAGAAACTAAATTTAATTGCTTATAAATGACTATATTTAAGAAGCATGTGATCCCAGTGTTTTTATTGATGTGCTTCAGACAAATAAATCTTGACAGTGAAACGAAAACAAAAGAAGTGTATCATGAAAAGGCTGTACATTAAARGAATGTGTGTTTAGTAATCAGCAGCACCACATTACGTTCAGGCAGTGCCATGGTTTATGCACACGATGACAAATGTACTACCCTTGGAGTGAGTTTGTGTCCTTGTGTTTGTGGCGGGAGAAAGGCTGCGTGCAGCGCCACTGATAGTGTTTCTCAGACAGGCAAGATGTGATTAGACTGGGAGCTGTTATTGCCTTTTTCTTTACAGTTCGTGCAAGAACAAGGAATCGAGATTTCTTATGATGTCTTTCTTTGCTGGGACATCAAGAAGAAGGACATTCATTTGGAAGGAGTCATGCATGGGATGGATGAGGAGGGACAGAACAAGGGACTGGGACATCAAAACAGACATTGGAAGACAGAGAATGGACAAAAGCCAACGAGACAGCGAGCTATAAAACAAAGATCGACAAAGGAAAAGGTGTCCGATCGAGTGGCAAGGRAGCGTAAAAGGGAGAGCTAGAATGAAGCAGTCAATTCTCCTCCAAGGCTGGGCTAATTAGACAAGCTGCTAGTGGGAGGCTGGGATGAAAGGAGCTGGCAAAGAGGAGAGGGAAACCCACAGCAGCCGTAGGTGCATGGCTAAATGATGGGTGAAATCAGGCCATTATTGGATTTCAAAATGGAACATAACAAAACTGTACTAATCACATTCTTATTTGGAATGTCTTCCAAAAAATATTAAAAAATGGGAGCCATTGTACATTAAATATGTGATAACTTTATTAAGAATATATGAAACTGCTTTATAGTGTCAGTTCATACTGGATTTTCATGATGAAAACTAAATCATGGCCTCAGGCACAAGCACAAAAACACTCTTGTAAGAACAGAATCTTATTCAGCACAAAAGTCCTCGGAGTAACACAGACTGGAAATAGAATAAAAAAATTAATGAGGTTTCAAAGTTTAATTCAACATAACTTACGTTTTTGTCCCATCGCACTGGGCACAGTGGGACCTGTTTGGGGGTCCCTGTAGGTCTCGTGGTTGGCAGCATAGCTGGCCAATGGAGCCCCTGCCAATGCAGAGTCCTCGATCCACTCTGCAACAGCAAGAAGCACAGGTTCTCTAGATGGAGTCTAAACATGAGCACTCCGACCTTTACAAGAAACAACTCAGGACTCCTGCGTGTTTGGTTCCTGTGAAGCTCTTTGAAGAAATACTGAGCAACAAGTTAACAGTAGAACCTTAAAAATGGCATTCACTAAAGCAATAATAAACAGAGAAAGCAATTATTTTATATTGGCCGCAATCTATTATCTTAAAATATCAGCCTTGATTATGAATATTGCAAAGAAAAATGTTGAAACACTGATCATAATTTGGTTTAATTTGCGTTGAGTGCATAAAAAAGTTGACCCTGATTTATACAAGTGTGTTCTTAATTGTGCCTGTGCATTAATAAAAATACTTTCATGAGGTATTATACTCATATTCCTAATATATATA